ACTAATTGTGGATATGTTCTTGTTCATTTTAATGTCTCTCTTCCTACCTAAATATTAGGGCTTGGTTTTGGCAAAGCGCCACAGCACTTCTTGATTGTGTTGTTTTCCTAGCAGGGAGATCTTGCTTTCCTGACCTGAGGGTTTCTCTGTGTTGCGAGGAAGGTGAAATCCCTGGAACTATGGAACAGTGAATGAAAACACCAGGAAACTCAATAGGGAGGAGAGATCCAGTTTGCATTTCAGGTTAGAGCTCGGTGGCACCAGGGAAGCACACTATTAACAGCTGTTTGGAAAAGTTTGCCAAGTCGGGAGTTTAGGTGTCAAACAGAATTTAATGCTGTGAGCTCTAAGCGAAATCTTTGCCCACTTAACCTACTATTCTGTTAGGGACATTTGGATAGTTTATCTTTGCCTCCAGGGGGCGTGGCGCTCAAACAGAGAGCAGGAGAGTAGAATTAAAGATTCTATGGGGACACTGTATTCTGGTTTGTTGAATCTGTTTCATTCTGGACTTTCCTGTAATGTTCACTGGCCCTGTAACTGACAGCCTGGGTGCTGTCCTGTTTGTTCTGGTGCTTTGTTGTTCTGCTGCTTGTTGCTGATGGACCTTGTCGTGGGTGTCCAGTACACTGCCAGGGTAGATGTTTGCTGCTCGTGCTGTTCCTAATATGCCCGTTCAGTGAGCTATCTCAATGTGGTCTTACTTATTCTATTATTGCTTCTGGTGAAATTATGATAATTTATTTTGACTCCATTTGATTACATGACATATTTCATTCATTGCAACAGCCAACTCTGTATCTCACTATATGGTAACAGTGGTGGTACCTCTTGATATTCATGCACCTTTTGTTTCAAAAGAAATTTTACGAATATCTTACGTTTTATGGATTAGCAGAGCTAAATTCATTTCATGTTTTTCTCATTTTGCTATTTAGAATTGTTTTCTTACTTAGAATATTGAAAGTCACTTCTCCTACCTATTTTCTCTGGCCCCTCCCATTTTTATTTCTTGAATTTGACTAATTTCAGATCCCATAGAAGTGAAAATTCATGAGAGTATTTGTTATTTAATGTCTGGGTTTCATTAGTGTAAGTTTTCCTTTTCAGGTTAAAACCATGATCGTAGCATATAATAATTTTTTTGATGACTCAATCTTTTTATTATTTAATATAGACATGTATCCATTATTGTTAGTGAACACTTCGTTCTTGTGACTTTTTATAGTGTGTTTTTTTTTACATTGACTTGTAATACTGCTAAATCTTTTTTGTATTTTTCCGGATATTATGGCTAAATTAAGTTTCTAAGATGGCCATCCCCTTCCCCACAAGTCTGGTTTTGTGTTTTACGGGGGACGAGTTTTCATCGTTGCCTAGGGCTAGAATCGTGCTCAGCCTAGGTCACAGCACCATACTTTGGCTTAAGCACTCTGGCTCAGCCTCTCAATGACCTGGGACTATAAGGTATGCCACCATGCGCCAGCTAATTTTTTACTGTGTTATATGTTTAGTGTTTCAATAATTTTTTCTACTCTTCTAGTAGATCGTCCATTCTCACTCTTGGCTCGGGCTGGTTTCGATCTCCTGCCTTGAGTAATCCGCCTGCTCGGCTTCTCCAGATGGCTAGGATTACAAGATGTGAGCACTCGGCGCCAGACTACAATCTGTCTTGTTAATTCTTTTCAATATTTGCACCAGATATGAAGTATTGGTTTAAAGATAATTCCCCATTTTATTTATGAAGAATAATTTCTTTACTGGTTTCCAAAGGGTTCCCCATTATATATGTCTACCAGCCAGGGGCCGGAAGTCTTCTCTTTATCTAGGTTCTCACAACACTTCTATTTGAGGATTTTCTTTTATAGTTTTGGAAAATGAACATTCTGATGGGTATTTTTCTTGTTTTCTGTGTATGTTGTTATATCCAGGAATCATGGCTTGAAGCCAATTCATAAAGCGTTTTTGCTATTAATTTCTTCTAGAGTTTTATAAATTTCAGGTTCTTTATAACGTAATGAACCATTTTAATGTAAATTTTTCGTATTGTGTGAACTAAAGGTCAACCTTCATTTCTTTTGGCATGTGGATTTCATTGTTTTGGACTCTTCTCTTCTTTTTGTGTTTGGAACAGATCTCACTCTGTTGCAGGTAGAGTGTTGTGATGAGCTAGTCACAGCAACCTCCAACTCCTGGTAAATATCTGCCTCAGCCTTCCAAGTACTGGCGACTACCAGAATGTACTACCATTTCCCATCTAATTTTTTCCTTATTATTATTAGTTGTCCACCTAATTCTTGTTTTTTTTTTTTTTTTAAGTAAAGAATGGTCTCGTTTCTTGCTTCAGGCGGTCTCAAAAACTCCTCAGTCATGAAGGATCCATCCACCTGCCTCCCAGAGTGCTAGGGATTAACAGTGTAGCGCCACTGCTGCCGCTTAGCACTTTTGTTGAACGGTATGTCCTTCCTCTTTACATTGTGTTGCACCATTACTCTGAATCAGGTTGACCATATTTCGTTAGTTGTTGTGAATGCTATTCTTTTCCATTGCTTCATTACATCTATCTTCATTGGGCCAGTACAGTACTGATTGATTAAGGTAGCTTGTAATGAGTTTTGTAATAACGGCGATTGTAAGACCTCTTCTTGTATTCTTTGAGATTTTTTTCGTATTTAGGTGATTGTTGATTCTTTAAGTATAAATTTCACTTTGCAGAAAGTTTCATTACAATTTTGCTAAGGATTTCACTAAATGTGTAGGTCACTATGGTGTTATCTGACATTTCACATCAAGTCTTTCAGGCATGACATGGGACATTTTTGCATTGTTGTGTGTCCTCTAAATTTCTTCTCATAGTTACTTCTTACATTTCTGTTTAAATCAGTTTCTCCTGTTACTCATCCTAAGTATTAATTCTTTGATCGTATTGTAATCATTTACTTTATTTTTCTTTTTTGGCTTTTTTTTTTTTTTTTTGTTTTAAAGGGCTCACATGTTACTACACGCTCAGGCTGGTTTTGAACTCCTGACCTTGAGCAATCCGCCCAACTCGGCCTCCCAAGAGCTAGGATTACAGGCGTGAGCCACAGCGCCCGGCCTCTTTTGGCATTTTTTATATTCATGTATATGAAAGAAACTAACTTTAAGTAGATTTTGTATCCTCTATCTTTGAATTCGTTCATTACTTCCAACAGTTTTTTGTGGAATCTCTAGGATTTTCTACGTAAAAGATTGTCATCTGAACAAAGATCATTTTATGTCTTCCTTTCCAATTGCATGCCTTTTATTTCTTTCTCTTTTCCCATTGCTTCAGCTACGATTCCAGTAACTACACTTTGCCCTCCATATCCATAGCTTCTGCATGCACAAATTCAATGACTCCTACATCAGCCATCCACAGTAGATGAACTACACACGTGGAACTCAGGGATACAAAGGCAGACTGTATTTTTCAATCTGTGTTTAGTTGAACCTGAGGATGTAGAAACCACAGATATGGACGAGGATCCCCAGAATGTGGTATCATGGTGGTGACCTGGACCCAACACTCCATAATGAGGGACAACTGTATGATTTATAGAAATAATGCTAGTAGGCTTTCATTTTCTTTTTTCTCATCTTAATGGAAGAGCCTTCATTCAATTTTGAGTATGAAGTTAGCTGTCAGCTTCTTATATATGGCCTTTATTATGTTAAGTAGATTCCTCGTATTCTTAGTGTATTGAGTGATTTTGTTATGATACATTTTTAAGGGTTTTTTTTTGCACCAACTGAGGTGAATGTTTGGACTTTTTCCTCTATTCTGTTTTTGTGGAGTAAGACACAGATTTATGTTTCTAAGTTGCAACCCCCTTGTATTCTGGGAATAAATCCCATTTGGTCATGATGTGTGATTCTTTTCAGTGTGCTGCTGAAAGTTTGTCTTGCCAGCAATTTGTTGAGGACTTTTGCATTTGAATAATCTGGAATATTGCTCTACAGTGTTCTTTTCTTGTAGGGCCTTTATCTGTCTTTTCTGTGAAGATAACACAAGCCTCATTAATTGAGTTTGGAAATGTTCCCTGCCTTGATAATTTTTGGAAGATTTTCAGGAGTGTTTGTGTTTATTTTTATTGTTTTGCAATATTTCATAGATTGACATTCCAGTCATCTGGTTCTGTACTTTCCTTTAATAGGAGATATTTGATTAGTGAGTGACTGTCTTTGTCACTGGTGTGTTTAATGTTTCTAAGTTCTTCATGCTTAAGTGTTGGTAAGTGGTGTATTTCTACACATTGATGCATTCTTGGTTATTAAATTTATTGTTATTGTTCCATCTCATTCTCTTAATTTCCTTTCTATTAACATACAATCGTCATGTTTCTTTTTTTTGTTTCTAATTATAGTAATTTCTCTCTTCTGGGTTTTTTTATTTTTTATTTTATCTGGCCAAGGGTTTGTCAGTCTTCTTATCATTTGGTGTATGATCTGTTACTTCTGTGATTTTCTGTTGTGTTTTTCCAGACTCCAGTTGGTTTGTGTTCTAATCTTTATTCATCTTTCAGCTATTATTGTATTTAGTTTGTTCCCATAGTTCATTGAAGTAAAAAGATAGGTTCTTTATATGTGATTGTTATTTATTTATTTATTTATTTTATTTTTTTGAGACAGAGTCTTGCTTTGTTGCCCAGGCTAGAGTGAGTGCCATGGCGTCAACCTAGCTCACAGCAACCTCAAACTCTAGGGCTCAAGCAATCCTGCTGCCTCAGCCTCCTGAGTAGCTGGGACTACAGGCATGCACCACCATGCCCGGCTAGTTTTTTCTATATATGTTAGTTGACCAATTAATTTCTTTCTATTTATAGTAGAGACGGGGTCTTGCTCTTGCTCAGGCGATAGACAAACTGTGGTGATATTCCTTTCTATATGTGAGTCAGGTGGGGCAGATGCTAGTCTTTTTCTCAGACTCTAGAAGTGCCAGATCCATAGGTTCAAGTTCCACTCTTTTCTTGCTTTCCTAGGGAGGAGCTGTGTCTTGGGAAATGATGCAGGAAACAAGCCCATTAAAACTGAACTGGGATTAAGCTTTCAGTTCCATCTGCCTGAAATGCAGCTATTTCAAGCTGAAGGGAAAATTTATGAATGTAATCAAGTTGAAAATACTATCAACCCTATTACCTCACTTTTACCACTTGAAAACCTTACTTCTCAACTGAAAACCCACAGATTTCATAAATATAAGAATGATTTTGTCAGTTCTCCAGTATTCACAGAAGAACAGAAAGCACACATTAGGGAAGAACCTTATAAACCTAATGAGCACAGCAAAGCCTTTAGTGTGTCTTCAAGCCTTCCTAACTATGGGGTAATCCTTACTGGAAAGAAGCCTTTCAAATGTAAAGAGTGTGGCAAAGCCTTCAGGCAAAATTCAGACCTTGTACGACATTGGAGAATCCACAGTGGAGAGAAACCATACAGATGTAATGAGTGTGGCAAAGACTTCAGTCAAAATTCACACCTATCTCGACATCAGACTATTCATACTGGGGAGAAACCTTACAAGTGTGATGACTGTGGCAGAGTATTTAGTGTGCGTTCCACACTTACAGCCCATCTGCAAATCCATAAAAGAGATAATCCTTACAAATGTGATGAATGTGGCAAGGTCTTTAGTTGCAATTCATACCTTAGACGACATCAGAGTATTCATACCGGAGAGAGACCTTACAAATGTAATGACTGTGGCAGTGCATTTAGTGTACTTTCAAGGCTTTATATACATCAGGTTATCCATAATGCAGATAAACCTTACAAATGTGATGTTTGTGGCAAGGTTTTCAGTCAAAATTCAAACTTAGCAAATCATCGTAGAATTCACACTGGAGAGAAACCTTATAAATGTCATGAATGTGGTAAGGTCTTTAGTTTTAATTCATACCTTGCACAACATCGGAGAATTCATACTCAAGAGAAACCTTACAAATGTGATGAATGTGGAAAGGTCTTTAGTTGTAATTCATACCTTACACAACATCGGAGAATTCATACTCAAGAGAAACCTTACAAATGTGATGAATGTGGAAAGGTCTTTAGTTGCAATTCATACCTTAGACGACATAAGAGTATTCACACTGGAGAGAAACCTTACAAATGCAATGAATGTGGCAAGGCCTTCATTTACAATTCATACCTTGTACAACATGCGAGTATTCATACTGCAGAGAAACCTTACAAATGTCATGAATGTGGCAAGGTCTTTACTTGCAATTCATACCTTACAAGACATCAGGGCATTCATACTGGAGAGAAACCTTACAAATGCAATGAATGTGGCAAGGTTTTCCGTCAAAAATCAAACCTTAAAAATCATCACACGATCCATTTGGGAGAGAAACCTTACAAATGTTATGAATGTGGTAAAAAGTTTAGTTTGTTTTCGAGGCTTCATATTCATCAGGTTATCCATAATGCAGATAAACCTTACAAATGTGAGTATTGTGGCAAGGTTTTCAGGCACAAATTATCTCTGACAGTTCATCTTAGAATTCATACTGGAGAGAAACCTTACAAATGTAATGAATGTGGCAAGGCCTTCAGACACAAGGTATCTCTTACAGTTCATCAGAAAACACATACTGGAGAGAGAACTTACAAACATAATGAGTGTGGCAAGGCCTTCTGTCAAAACTCAAACCTTGAAGATCATCACAGAAACCATACCGGACGGAAACCTTACAAATGTAACGAATGTGGCAAGATCTTCCATTACAATTCAACCCTTGCACGACATCTCTGTATTCATACTGGAGAGAGGCCTTACCAATGCAATCAGTGTGGCAAATTGTTTTGTCAGAAATCAAACCTTAAAAATCATCATGTTGTCCATTCGGGAGAGAAACCATACAAATGTAATGAGTGTGGCAGGGTCTTCCGTCACAAATCAAACCTTAAAAATCATCACACAATCCATACAGGAGAGAAACCTTTCAAATGTAATGAATGTGATAAGGCCTTCAGACAAAAGATATCCCTTACACGTCATCGGCGAACTCACACTGGAGAGAAACCTTACAAATGTAATGAGTGTGGCAAGGTCTTCTGTGAAAAATCAAACCTTAAATCTCATCACAGAATCCATACTGGAGAGAAACCTTACAAATGTAATGAGTGTGGCAAGGCGTTCCGTGAAAAATCAAACCTTAAAACTCATCACAGAATCCATACTGGAGAGAAACCTTACAAATGCAATGTATGTGGTAAGGTTTTTAGTCACATTTCACGGCTTGCTCAGCATCAGAGAAGTCATTTGTGAGAGACTCTGCAGACTCCTTCAGGGTGCAAACTCTTCATCATGAGTTCTATCAGTAATCAACATCAGAGAGTCCATACAAGAGAAATCAAATAAGTGCAATGTATGTGGCGGGGGCTTTATCCAGGTCTCACCACTCACTACACATGAAAAGGTACACCTTCAATGAAACACGCCAATGAAATGTTTATGGTGAGGCTAGTACCCAAGGAACATTACTGTAGAATGTCAGGATTTATACTATAAGTAACTTAGTCTCTGGTTCTGTAATATTAATCTCTGATGTTATGTGGTGATGAATAATTCTAAATCAAAATACATTGACTCTCATGACACGATATATATCAAAGATGCAAGGACATATGGACATGATGCGTTCTGTTTTGGTTATACAATAGTTAATTTGAAGTTCTTTCAAAGGGCCACTTTATTCTTTATGACTTTCAGTCCAAACTTTGGAAATCTCTTCATATGCCTTCCTTACCAGCATTTCACTGTGGTGTCTCGGGAAATAAATCAATAGAATGATAGGTCTCAATTGATTACTGAGAATCATCGATATCCCATTTCCTAGAGGAGAGAGGATACTGGCTTTTGAGATTAATTTTTTTTTTTTGTATTTTTATGGAGACAGGGTTACCTGTTACAGTGTTGCTCTGTTACCCTGGGTGAAGTTAAGTGGTGTGATCATAGCCCACTGCACTCTCTAATTCAGGGCTCCTCAAAGTTTTTAAATAGGGGGCCAGTTCACTGTCCCTTAGACCATTGGAGGGCCATTGGAGAGTGCGGCACACATTCCACACAAGCGCACTGTGGGCCTGGGACGAGTCAGCTGCTAAGCAGGACAAGCAGCTGCGGCAAAATCACCGGGCAGGCCGGATAAATGTCCTTGGCGGGCCACATGTGGCCCATGGGCCATAGTTTGAGGACGCCTGCCTAATTCATGGGCTCAAACTATCCTCTCCACTCTACCTCACACATAGCTGAGACTACAGGTATACCACAGCTGGTCCAGCTGATTGTTATTAATTTGTTGTTTGTTTTTTTTTTAATTTTGGCATATTATGGGGGTACAGATTTTAAGGTTTCAATAAATGCCCTTTCCCCCCTCCCCCCACAAGTCTGAGTTTCCAGCATGACCATCTCCCACATGGTGCACATCTCACTCGTGTGTATATACCCGCCCCCCTCCCACCTGCCCAGTACCCTGTTACTGTAGTACCGATGTGTCCACTTAGGTGCTGCTCAGTTAATACCAGTTTGCTGGTGAGTATATGTGGTGCTTGTTTTTCCATTCTTGGGATACTTCCGCGATATTAGTAGTATGGGTTCCAGCTCTAACCAGGAAAATTAAAATGTGCGATATCACCATTGTTTTAGAGCTGAATATACTCCGTGGTATACTATACACTTTTATTAATCCATTCTTGGATTGATGGGACTTGGGATGTTTCCACAGCCTTGCAATTATATTAATTTTGTTTTGAGAGAAAAAGTCTCACTATGTTCTTCAGGCTGGTTGCAAACTTTGGATTTTAGCAATTCTCCAACTTGTCCTCCTAGCATGCAGAATTAGATATGAGCCACTGTGCCTTGTCCTTTCCGATTAAATACTGTGTGATTTAGAGAGGATGGCAGTGGGCAGAGAGTGATTAAAACTGGGGTGCCGTCTAAATGCCTAATGCATTCAGCACACGCTTCCTGAAGGAGGGTTATAGAAACGAAATGTTCTAACACTCACAGAAAAAATAATCGGCCACACCTCTGGACACTGGGAATTTCGTGGAAGACAATAGGTTCTTACGCAGAAACGACAAATTATGTGGCATAGAATACTATGAACTACGAGGGATCACTATGCCTATGATACCTATCTCATAGAAGAGTATGAAATATGGCACAGGATACCTTAATGTGTGGCTTAGCATATTACTCGCAATAATGATGAACCAAGCATGCAGGCTGAACCCAATATACGTGTTTGAAGCTAATTGAGCAGTTATCAGAATAGGCACTTTAATAGAAAGGAATCAAACCAGTATACTTGGACATGATTATATGGGGATGGAACTTATGATTTAATAATATTACCTTACTTAGGCATTATCAATGCAATCTGTAAGATAGGATATGATATAATTCAATAATGGGGTCTCACAAGCAAATTAAATAACATTAAACATCCAAACAATCAAAAAAAAACACTCGATGCTAACTACTTCTCAATAAGGCATCAGATATTCTTCCTTGATATATTATATTTATTTGTTATTGAGTTTTTTTTTGTATTGACGAATGCAAGTACAATGAGGTGCTTCAAATGGTGTCTACTTCGCTTTGATTGCCCAAGCGACTATTGTTTTAAAACATGGGTGCCTATGATAGGATCCAGCCAATGGATCAACATCAGGCTAACTCTATAACTCCCTTGTGGTTCAAACAGATGCTAATATACCTCGTCTGTGTGTCGGTACCTCTCGACTGAATGGCTGCGACGAAGATTACAAGGATGTGCCAGTAATCTCAGAGGAAACCATGGAAGACGTGCTACCACACGACCGCAGGCCGTCGTAATTTTTTCTACTTACATATTATGCAGAATGTAAGATTGGCCTATTTATAGACTTTCATTTACTGAACATAAAATGTTAGTATACATGTCATGTAAGATGGACCGGAACAGGTCTCGCTCTTGCTGCAGGTTGGTCTCGAACTAGAGCCTTCGTACTCTTGAGCACGAATCCACCCGCCGTCTAGGTATCCTGACGCTAGACGCCGCGTAGGTGATTTAATGAGAGTGTAGTGAGCACTGCACAAAACTCGCGACTCTGAGCATCTAACAATTCAGGCCCGTCTACTGTCTTATTAAACGATATGAGATGGAGAACAACTGAGCAAAATAATTCTTCCAGACATTATAATTAGAATTTAAGGAAGAATTTAATTTCTGTAATCGCAGACCATAAAAAGAAATCAAAAAAATGTCTTCTATACGAACCTTGTCTATATTCGACTGCGTATGCATAGAATAGATTTTCAAAGCAGCATAAGCTAGACTATTCCGACTGACATTTATATCTATCGTAAAGATACCAACAGTATGTTGATGATCTCAAAGAGATCGCAGTTTTGTAGTGTCTCAAGAATAAAAGAAAAATACATATAACCCTTTATAATGGCAATAACTAAGCTAGAATATATGTATAGTATAGATCGAGTTCTGTAAGTTATGATTTGTAAGGCTCATCCAGTGATTCTCTTAGTAATTGTTTAGTCTCTATGTTGGCATTACTAGGCGGGGCTGGCTGGTAGTACGATATTGTTCCAAGTAGATGTTGGTTGAAGCAGAGTCAGCGTAAGTCCAGAAGAA